AGGCCCAGGAGCTTGACCCCCGAGCGCCAGCCCATTGCTGCAGTGACGCCCTCCAGGTGGGTCTGCACCTGAGACGGGACGCCACGACCCACCTGGGTTCAGACACACACGCAAATGCCCGGCACAGAGCAGGTGCCAAGTTACACAGATGCCTGGGAAGGCGGCTGGGGTTCCCGCCCGGGCTGGCTGCACCCCACCGACGGGCACCTCCTTCCTGTGGGAGGCCCCAGAGGACGTCTGGGACCCTGTGATCATCCCACCACAGCAGCAGGTCTCCCAGCCACCATTGTGGATGGACCCTGACCTCCCTCGGGTCCCCAGCTGTGCCAACTTCAAGGCCACGCGCTCCTTCAGCAGCGGGTGCACAAAGCCTGTCTCTCCCACGGCCGTCTTCGAACTCCCAGCACTCGGGGAATGGCAAAGAAGCCACCCCAAGCCCTAGGCACCTCCAATCCGCTCCCTTCCTGCCTTCCACTCTTGGGACTGAGGAATGAGGAAGGCAGAGACAGCCGGGCCTGGGAGGGTGCCTGGCCTGATCCCACAACTTCCCTCACTCCCTTTTAATTAGGGGCCACTTAAAAGCAGGAAAGCAGAATAGCCCACCGCCTGTCTCTCCCTGCCTCTGTGACAGCCCCGGCCTCCCCCCTCGCTGCAGTATCCACATGCACACCCCAGAAGAGGGAGCGGGGCTGTGCCGAGGAAGTGGCTGTCCAGGCTCCCCGACCGGCAGAAGCCAGAGCCAGGCCCTGGCAGGTGCGGCTCCCACAGTCTCTTGCCTCCCCTGTCACTCCTTTTACTATAGCTACGCCCTTCCTGTCCTATTATTTATTAAAAAAAATTATTTAATTTAACTTTATACTTATTTTATTTTGAACAGAGAGACAGACAGAGAGAGACACTGAAAAAGCAAGTCGCCAGGTCTGGGACTCGAACCACAGTCAGCCATGTGAGAGTCCAGTGCCTTTAACCACCATGCCACCTGCCAGCCCCAATTTATTTACATTTTTAATGGTTATATATTTTTTACCTAAATAAATCTATTTTAAGTGGAAGCCTTATATCACTCCTGTAAATACAAAAAGTGTCACTGGCCACAGTAGAAGGTATCTCTAAAGATGACAGAGAAAAAACTAAAACAATGCCATTAATTAAAAATTCTGGCCAGAGGGTATGTACACTCACCAGACAGAGAAAAGCACCTGACATGGCCACACCATGGTCCTTTTCCTGCTCTAGCTCCATCCCATCAGGACCTTGGGTCGCATCTGCGTGTGCCTGGCATGTCTGTTAAGTTGCCAGGGCTGGGGTTTGAACCATAGTTGGCCACGTGGGATCAGCTGGGTCCCCTTAAATTCCAAGTAGAAACTCTCGCCTGCCCAAGGCCCTGGACAAGGCCTGCTCTCTCTCTTGTGAAACAGAGACTGGCAGGGTCAGGGAGACCTCCGTGCCCTGGGGGTGCTCTCGGGCTTGGCGGTGTCAGGATGAGTCGAACGACTCCGCGTCCCGAGCTGCCTCACTGCGCCCGCCAGCCTGACGGGTGGCTCACATCCGAGCACCTCCGCGGTGCGTGGCTGCCAGCCGGGGTCACACTCCAGCTTGGTCAGAGCTGGTCACCCTGTCGTCACTTCACACACGCCGTGGGGGCCGTGTCAGCTGACTTGCCATTTAAATGTCTTTGGAAGGACGTGCAGTCCTGGGGCAGGGACGTGAGTGGATGCTGTGTCCTCACGGCCACACTTTTTGGGCAAAGCAACAAACAAGCGTCTTACATGACCAGGACGGGGCACAGCAAGCCGCTGACGCTGCGTGACCGCCCGCTCTGGGCTTGTGTACAGGGATCACCAGTCACACGCTGACGGCGACGTAAGGTGGGATGAGCAGCCGCCGCTCAGAGCAGTGGAAGGCTGTGGGACGGCTCCTCGTTACGGCCTGGGCGGAACGTGCGGCACTTCCGTTCTCAGTGGCCCCTGCGTCTCATCTAACACTGCCCGGGTGGTCAGGTCTCGCCTGGCACCGTGCTGCACCAGCCTCCCCAGTAGGGCCATTGCTCCTGCAGCAGAGGGTCTCAGAGGCGCGTGCACTAGAGTCCCAGGGGCCACTGCAGACCAGGCCACTGGACGCAGCCCCAGCCTCACTGACCCCCTGGGTGGGGGTGGGCCTGAGGCTCGATATGTCTAATCAGTGCCCATGGTGGTGACACTGCTGGTCCGAGGACACCTGCACAACAGCACTGTCCCAAGGTCCCTCCCCCTGCTAAGTCTCCTCGTTGCTCCGGCTCCTTCCAGCCTGGTGGGAGTTGGTGTGGAGGGGCTGGGCGGTACCGGAACCCGGGTCGAAACTACCCTGTCCTTTTGGATAGCTTAGAAGACAGCATCTTTCCTGACACTGTTGGCTGGGCAGGCTGGGCCAGAAGCTCTCTGGGCAAGGCGCCACCCCTCCTGTGCCCCTCCCCTGCTCAGAGGGACCCAGGGGCACAGCTTGCAGCCTGCAAAGCTGGTGTTGAGGCACCATGGACGCGGCAGGTTGGGCAGGGAGCGATTTGTGCTGCTCTTTAAGACAAAACCCAGGACAGACAAGCCCAGTCCCCAGGCACTCCACAGCCCTGCCCACACGTGCGAGCCGCAGCCGGTTCAGACACTCCTTCCGCGGGGTCAGTGCGTGCTCCTGGGCTAGCAAGGAGACATCTGTGCACTTTCCCTCAGAGACGACGATCCTTTTCCCAGCCACTCAAACATCTTTGAAACAGGGAATTTTCCAGTGCTGGCCTCTCCCCTGGGAGCAGGGAGGAGGGAAGTCCTCGAAGGGCTGTAAGTGCAGGCATCCCTGTGGGTCCCCTTCCAGGGCCTGGACTCGCCCCACGCCCACTGCTCAGAGGGCCCGGGGCCGCCCCACAGTCCCGCTGCTATAAATGCAGGTGTCCCTGTGGGTCCCCTTCCAAGGCCCGGACCCGACCCACGCCCACTGCTGTAAATGCAGATGTCCCTGTGGATTCCCTTCCAAGAGGGTTCCCTTCCGAGGTCCCACACCCGCCCCACACGCCCACTGCTGTAAATGCAGACGTCACTGTGGGTTTCCTTCTGAGGGTCTGGGGCCACCCCCCGCACACTGCTCAGAGGGCCTGGACCTGCCCCACACGGACGTCCATTGCTCAGAGGGCCCGGGGCCGCCCCATGCCCACTGCTGTAAATGCAGACGTCACTGTGGCTTCCCTTCTGAGGGTCTGGACCCGCCCCTCACCTGCTGCTCAGAGAGCCCAGGCTGTCCCATGCCTGCTGCTCAGAAGGTCTGGACCACCCCACACGTGCTGCTCAGAGGGCCTGGGGCCGCTCCATGCCCACTGTTGTAAATGCAGACTTCACTGTGGCTTCCCTTCGGAGGGCCTGGATCCACCCCAGCTACTGAGCTGAGCACTAACGACTGCTACAAGAAACAGGAGACTGCCTCGTCCTGGGTAGAAAAGGTTTACTGCTTACAAAATACGGTACAGAACAGAAGCCCCTGCACGGTGACACGTAAACACAGGCTCACGCTGCACCAGATCGTGGAAGCTCCAAGCGGAGCCTGGACCGACGTGCAGGATCGCCAGCATGCCCGGGGGAAGGCGAGCCCAGGACTCCTGGTGCCCGCTGTAGACGGGGCCTTTCCACCTCACCCGGCCTAGTGAATCTAGTTACTCCCGTCAGCTGTGGCAACGAGTGCCCTTCAGTGGACTCGGCCTTCACGCCACGGCGCTGTTCCACGAGGCAGAGCGTGGCTGTCCGGGCTCTGCAGGGCTCTTCTGGGAAGGGGCTGGGCAGGGGCTGCAGGCCAGGCGGGGGGCTACTGTCGGCAGGTGTCGTGGAAGGCCTCGAGGGTTCGGAAATCCCTCCAGGTGGGGGGGAGGCCGTCTTGCAGAAACTTCCCGCAGCGCTGGCACGGGGCCTGGAACAGCTTTACGTAACTTCTCAGCCAGGTCTAAAAAGAGAAACGGGGAGAGGAATGAGAGGACGGGAGCTGGTGCTTCCAAAGTCACCCTTCCCATCGCGCCTGAGGATCCCGAGGACAGGGAGCCTAGTCGGCTCTGACCCCAGACACCCACTGATTTCGGAGAGAAGCCGGGAAGTGCAAGGTCACCACACTGCCGCCAGCCCTGCTGCTCCCGCCCCTCCCAGGCAGTCTGTGCACAGAAATGCCTTCTCTCCGGAGGTCCCCTGAACGCCCGAGCTCCAGCCGTGTCTCTTGAGTAAGCATCGACCTGCTCCTGGCTCACTGCCGGGAGGTGGCCCTGGACGGTGCGGAGGACCTTCGAGAACACTCCGTAGGTCAGCATGCCTCCCGGCTAATTTGATTTCAGCGGTCATCACTCACTGTCACAGCGTGGCTGACACACCTGGGGGTGGGCGGGGACAGCCCCGTGCCACCGAGTAACACAATCAGCGGCAAATCCCGCCTGAGCAGTGCAGAGAGCAGGGTTCTGTGGGCGTCATACATAAGGATGAGGCTCCTAACTCGATTTAGGGCTTGGGGAGGCCCACTACCGGAAACCCACCTCACAGCGGGCAAGCCAGTCCCACCGTGGGCCACGGCCTTGTCACGTGATGTCCCCCTGAAGCACGTCGGTCACAGACAACCCTTATTAGAAGGGTCGCCAAGTTTCCTGACGCGGATCGTGCCATCCTGCTCAGCTGCCAAGCCCCATTACCTGGGTCCCTCCCCAAGGTGCGGGGGTTTCTAATAAACACGAGGATGTCACGGAGCAGCCAGGCAAACCGTTCGTCCTTTGGGGTTGAGCAGATGCAGGTCCCCCCAAACTCCAAAGTCAGGAACCGAAAGGAAGCTGGGCCTGACAACATGCTTGGGTGAAAAGCAAGTCTGTCACCCTGAAACCGAGATCTCACTCCAGACCGTCACCGGGGTTGTCCCTGAACAGAGATGGCTCCACGGCCCCTGCCGAGCGCTGGTGTCCTGAGCGGCTGGCACTGCTGACGCCCCCACAACCATGTCTTGGGGGCGACCACGGCCTTGTCACGTGATGTCCCCCTGAAGCACGTCGGTCACAGACAACCCTTATTAGAAGGGTCGCCAAGTTTCCTGACGCGGATCGTGCCATCCTGCTCAGCTGCCAAGCCCCATTACCTGGGTTCCTCCCCAAGGTGCGGGGGTTTCTAATAAACACGAGGATGTCACGGAGCAGCCAGGCAAACCGTTCGTCCTTTGGGGTTGAGCAGATGCAGGTCCCCCCAAACTCCAAAGTCAGGAACCGAAAGGAAGCTGGGCCTGACAACATGCTTGGGTGAAAAGCAAGTCTGTCACCCTGAAACCGAGATCTCACTCCAGACCGTCACCGGGGTTGTCCCTGAACAGAGATGGCTCCACGGCCCCTGCCGAGCGCTGGTGTCCTGAGCGGCTGCCACTGCTGACGCCCACACAACGATGACCTGGGTGAGCAATGCCGCCCTGGCGGCCGACGTGCACCCAGATGTGCTGACAGGCAGCCTTTTAGCACGAGGAACACAGGGACGCTGGCCGCGGTGAAAGGCGGAGCCATGAGCGATGTGAGTCTGGGAGCCCCGTCAGCTCTGCGTCTGTCAGCTCTGCCCACGCTGCCTGGTGGTCAGGGGACAATGCTGGGAACTGGCTCTGGGTGTGGACGCTCCGGCCGGCGGCATTTGCCACTTTCTGCGGTGTAAACATTCCCACCAGGATGGATTTCAAGCTTCCAATGGGTGAATGACCAGCTTGCCAAATTCTAAACATTTAACCAGGAGCAGCAGAGGCTGGCTCCAGCACGTCACTGGAGCGGCGGTCTGGGGCTGTTGCCATCTTGAGCTGCACGTCTGAAAACCCAAGGATGAGATGTCTTGGGGAGCTGTGAGACCCGTCTTACTCACCGCTGCATGCCCAGTGCCAGCAGGGGCCAGGCACGGCGGAGAGCGATGAGACCCCTGAGCCAAGCGGCCGCTGGAAACTCGAAGAGCACTTCCGAACCACTGTCTGGCAGGGATGCTTAGTGAGGCTGGAGACAGGAAGGGTTTTCCACTGGCAGCCACAGCTCCCCCAGGAGGCCCCCCGAAGGCTGAGGGTGCCAGAGCTACTTCCCGAGCTGCCTGCCCTCACCCGGAGGAGGCCACAGTGACTCTCGAAGCCACTTACCATGAAGGACCTGACCACAACGTCAGGCATCTGGGGCAGCTGGTAGTGGAGCAGGGCCGTGGTGGCGTGGTCTGTCACCTGGGGACGAAGGGCATGATGGTTAGCAGCACCCCTGGCTGGCACAGAGCCGCCTTCCGTACGGAGGAAGGGGTCTGAACCGTCTCCCGTGGGAGCTCAGCGGCAGTGCTGGTGCCCAGATGGGAGAGGCCTGTCAGGTACAAGGGAAACGGGCTGCAGCGGTGACATCTGAGATGCCTCAGCCTATCCAGGGACCAGTGGCGTGGGCTGAACCAGAGGGGCTGTTCTGGGGAGCCTCTCCATACCCTCTGCCCTGGGGCCCATCCATGTTCCCGACTCCACAGTCGCTGTCAGCAAAGCCACGGGCGAGACTGTGTGGAGCCCACTGGGAGCATCGGGTGACCAGTGGACAGAGCACTGGACATGCGCCCTGACCTTGGTCCAGCTACTTCTGGGGACAGGCTGGTCTAAGACTCCTTGTAGTTCTGAAATCTGATGACACCATGAATTGCTAATGCCTGCCATCAATCAGCAAATTAGTAGATTACGCCTAATTTGAAATGTGTTCAAACTAATGGTTTATTTGATTGTCCTCATTAGAGATTCTTGGCATTACAAATATTGTGAACAAAACAAAGCAAAGTTCCAGAAAGAAGCTTAACTTGAGGACAAGAGCACACCCAGCTCTGACTTGTGCAGCTCGCCAGCTTTTGGGGCCCCCCAGGACACTGCGGCACAAACAGCCCCAAGCACACTGCCAGGTGCAGAGCACAAGTGTGGGGCCAGACCCGCATGGGGAGTGGCCAAGGATCTAGCAGCTGTGTGTCCACACCGCAGTCAGAGCAGCTGAGCCAGAGGGTGAGGATGCAGGCTCCAGGGCAAGCAAGCCGGGTCCTGGATCCCAGCTCGTACAGGCAGTCTCGGCCCCTTACAGAGCCTCCCGAGCCTCACCTTCTCCTGGATAAGACGGAGGGTGTGCAAATACACGCCTCGTGAGGCTGTGAGAGTGCAGAATGACTCTGGGTGCAGAAGGCTCACTCCCTGGCACCTGCCTGCTCTTTCCTGCTCTGCCTCGCCTGTGCCGGCCCTCATCCCTGCAGGACTTCCATGCCTGCCTGGTGCCGGGTTATTTCCACCCAGGTCTTGCACAGCTACCAGCTGCACACAGAGGTGACTGTACTCATTTGTTGGGCAAAGGAAAAACTTGGGGGACCAGCTGGTGGCATGATGGTTAAGGCACTAGACACTCCCACATGGCCGACCACAGTTCAAGTTCTGGACCTATCCAGGGACCAGTGGCGTGGGCTGAACCAGAGGGGCTGTTCTGGGGAGCCTCTCCATACCCTCTGCCCTGGGGCCCATCCATGTTCCCGACTCCACAGTCGCTGTCAGCAAAGCCACGGGCGAGACTGTGTGGAGCCCACTGGGAGCATCGGGTGACCAGTGGACAGAGCACTGGACATGCGCCCTGACCTTGGTCCAGCTACTTCTGGGGACAGGCTGGTCTAAGACTCCTTGTAGTTCTGAAATCTGATGACACCATGAATTGCTAATGCCTGCCATCAATCAGCAAATTAGTAGATTACGCCTAATTTGAAATGTGTTCAAACTAATGGTTTATTTGATTGTCCTCATTAGAGATTCTTGGCATTACAAATATTGTGAACAAAACAAAGCAAAGTTCCAGAAAGAAGCTTAACTTGAGGACAAGAGCACACCCAGCTCTGACTTGTGCAGCTCGCCAGCTTTTGGGGCCCCCCAGGACACTGCGGCACAAACAGCCCCAAGCACACTGCCAGGTGCAGAGCACAAGTGTGGGGCCAGACCCGCATGGGGAGTGGCCAAGGATCTAGCAGCTGTGTGTCCACACCGCAGTCAGAGCAGCTGAGCCAGAGGGTGAGGATGCAGGCTCCAGGGCAAGCAAGCCGGGTCCTGGATCCCAGCTCGTACAGGCAGTCTCGGCCCCTTACAGAGCCTCCCGAGCCTCACCTTCTCCTGGATAAGACGGAGGGTGTGCAAATACACGCCTCGTGAGGCTGTGAGAGTGCAGAATGACTCTGGGTGCAGAAGGCTCACTCCCTGGCACCTGCCTGCTCTTTCCTGCTCTGCCTCGCCTGTGCCGGCCCTCATCCCTGCAGGACTTCCATGCCTGCCTGGTGCCGGGTTATTTCCACCCAGGTCTTGCACAGCTACCAGCTGCACACAGAGGTGACTGTACTCATTTGTTGGGCAAAGGAAAAACTTGGGGGACCAGCTGGTGGCATGATGGTTAAGGCACTAGACACTCCCACATGGCCGACCACAGTTCAAGTTCTGGACCAGGTGGCTTGCTTTCTCACTTTCCCTCTCTCTCTCTCTGGTCAAATGAAAAATAAATGAATGAATAAATACAATTAAAAAAAAGAAAAAACTTGGAAAATGCCCCCTTGTCAAATCCACGCAGCACAAACACCTGCAGTGGCGTGCCTGCAAACACATCATGGCTCATGTCTCCGACGCTGCCAAGAGATTCTCACCCAAGTGACTTTCAAGATAAGTGGTGCTTAGTCCTTCAAGTGCCAGGCCCGCCTGTATTTTAAGCATTTCTGACAGACAGTTTTCTAAAATGAGCAATGCCATCTTTTTAAACAGTAGTAATGATAGCTTTGGTAGACGGCTGGTGGTGACTGGTGGGGTGGAAGGGACAGCCACAAACAGCAGCATCCCAGGCTCAGGCGGCACCCGACGCAGGCTGGGTTCTTGCCATCGGGCTCCTGCTAAGACCACGTGAGCACCACTCCACGGGCTATCGGGACGTTCCTTGCACGTGCGCTGCCACTGCAGAGGGCACAGGTCTGTGGAGAAGGCCCCTGGACCTGGGAAGCACTCATGAAGCTGCAGGGGCAGGGTAGGCTAGGCCCGTGTCTGCACATAGCCCGCTGGCCCCTGGTTCGGGCACAATTCCATCCCCAAGATGTGGAGTGTCCACCTGTGCCAGGCCTGTAGGTGCCTTGGGATGGGACTGGATCCATGCATTTTGGTGGCGTGAGCTAGTCTAGCCTGGGGCCTGATTCCCTCCACATGGCTGACCACAGTTCGAGTCCTGGACTTGGTGGCTTGCTTTCTCACTTTCCGTCTCTCTCTGTCAACTTAAAATAAATGAATGAATAAATTATTCTTTGGGACCAGCAGTTAGTGTAATGGCTATGTTGCTGGACTCCCATGTAGTTGACCGTGGTTTGAGTCCCGGACCCGGTGGCTTAAATTCATGCCGGACACGTGTGTGTGCATGACCCAGAGGATCCCGAGAGGAGAATGGAGGAGAAGGGATTGCGGCGTAGCCACCCCCCCCGGGGGTGATTTCTCGCTTTCTGTCTCTCTGTCTCTCTCTTTCTGGTGAGTGTATGAGCCCTATAGTAAACACCTCTCAAAAAAAATTATTAAAAGGTCTGGGGGCCAGCAGGTGGCATAGTGGTTAAGGCACTAGACTCCCACATGGCCAACACAGTTCGAGTCCCAGACCTGGTGGCTGAAACTCATGCTAGGTACATGTGGATGAGGCCCGAGAGAAGAATGGAGGAGAAGGGACTGTGGCTTGGCCACTGCCCCCAGTGGGTGATGTCTCACTTTCTCTCTGTCTCTCTGGCCAGCGCACAAACCCCATACTGAAAATCTCTCTCTAAAAAAGTAAGGTCTGGGACAGCCTCGCAGGCCGCTGGGAGGATGACTGAGTGTGACTGTGTAAGTGCTCAGCACCAGGCCCGGCTCCTGTGGTCGCTGTGACTGTGACCATCCTGCCCCCACGTGGCCACGGGCTGCCATCAGCAGGTGCTGGGGGGCAGGGCTGTGGAGTAGGACACGTGACTCATCTGCCAGAGCGCCATTCCACTCATCCGGGCACCTGCCTGGCCTCGACCCAAATGCTGGCAGGACTCTACCCCCAGATGCCCTAAACTTGGACCCTGGGCGCCTGGCCTGGCTTCCTGATCTGTATTTGAGCCTTCTCCCTGTCCTCCGCTGACCTGTGGACTTGACCTCCCGGAGGCCGAATGCAGTTCGCCACGCGTCCTAGGAGGAACCTAGCTTTGACAACCTCAAGGTGCTTGCCTAGGCGAAGCCCCCTCTGCCCCCCAGGCCTGCTCCTCTCCAGCGTTCCTGCTAACAGACCTGCACCCAACCGCCGGCCAGCCTGGGCTTGTGGGGGCACCCCGTCTCCACCTCACACTCGAGCAGCATGGAACGCCAGGTTAGCCATGGAGCGCGTGTGCTTCCTCCCCTCCACTGCTGCCCCCAGCCTACACCGCCACCTTCCCGCTGAGTGGGGCCCACTCCGTCCCTCTCCCTAGGAGCCCTTTGATTTTCCGACGGGGCTCGGGGCTTTCCAGGGCACCTGTCACACCGGAGCTCACGCAGTCACCGCAGGTTCCCTGGTGTGGGCTTCCCTAACTCGACCGTGACCTCAGAGGAGAGACGGCCCGTCCGTGCCCGCCACAGGCCCTCAGTGCACGGGTGCTGGCAGAGGGGCCGATTCTGCCCCAGGGGGCTCAGCCGAGGTGGGTGGAGCAAGGGGCCCTGCTCTACCCCCACTGTGCTGGGCACCTTGAACCTCCCCTGTGGGGCAGGAGACATCGTGGTCGCTGCCCAGTCCCCTCTCCACCCTGGGCCCTGGGGAGGCCTCTAGCTGGCCTTGTGGTGGGAGTGTGGCTGGGCCAGGTGGATGGTTCTAGCCTGCATGCCAGGAGGGGAAGGGGTATGTGGATTCTCTCTGCTCCCCCGACCCCCAGTGCCTGGCAGCTGCACACGAAGGTGACCCCACCAGCTGGGGGGCCCTGCTGTGCCTGCTGAGTGAGCTCATGGACACAGCCCTGGGGCAGGGCAGGGCAGCTGTGGTGTGAGCAAGGCTGAACTGTAAAGACGGGGCAGCCGTCCCGGCAGCATGGCCTCCTCTAAGGCTAACATGCTCCTCGGGTGCTCGTTCCCACCTAGAGACGGGGCCATAGCGGCTGCTGGGTCTGCTCCAGGAAGCGGGGCACGCAAGCCTGAGTCGTGGCCAAGGACAGCTCCCCTCCCCGATGGGGCCA